TTCTTTGTAGGTTATCTGGGTTGACAGTCACCTGAAGGAGGCCAGATTGCACAATGGCTGACACATTGTCATAATGACAAAAAAAGATTAGGGCAATAGTTTGAATGCAAATAATAACAACTCATCATTCCAGAAATTCAGACAGAAAAACCAAGACTTTTAAGACAAATATCTGAGCATAATAAATATAATCAGCATCAAGAACAAATCTAGACAAAAGAACTGACATTCCCCTCCAACCATATGTAATTTCTCATATATGCATTTCTTTTGTGTTTACATTTGAGATATTAATGTGTTTGGAGATGAAAGGACATCCTTTTTTTTTGCATTTGATAATGGAAGGAAAATCAAGGACTGGAGATAAAAAAAAGAATTTAATTTGATTTTGTGAGCACATATAATGAATCTCTTAATTTCATTCTTTGCTGGTCGAAACAGCCAACAGCAAAATAGCATTATTGAATTAATCTGCAGCAATTAATTTCTCTTTGACATATGTTTAACTTATACAATTCTTGGCAATGTCTGCAAGAATGTGTTTTCATTTGCAGCATTAAAACAATGACTTTTTATTGTAAAAATTCAGGATCTGGAATTAGTAAACACTAAACACTTCAAATACCTCAGCGTATTAATCAATTATAACAAAATTAGTATAGGAGGTAAGAAAATTGAACATAGAATAGGCTGTGCTAGGCATAGTTTTGCCCAATACTGCAAATTGCTACTAAACCAAAATATTAAACTATATGGCACTAAACTAATTTAGAAATATCTCAATTGTCAGCTATATACAACGGCATTCTCAGATCAATGTTTAAAATGGCTTCATGTGAATGAAACTGATTAGGTATTAACAATGACAAATAGGGCAGGTTGATTTTTCACTTTTTTCAGAAAATAAACATTGCACTCACTGCAAAAGCTGGGGTTCAGTATCATAAGTCAGACATCAAAAATTAAATTCATAGCTTTTATCAATCTTTGAGCATTACTTTTAAAATATCATCTGAAAAATGTAGATAAATATCGAATTTCTGCAGATTTTTTGCTTACAAACTGACTTTAAAATTTCACTATTTCAAGAATAAATCCAAATAAACTTAATATATTTTGTATTAGATACATTAAATGTAAAATATTTTCAAAGCAGAATGCTGATTATGAATCACCACAAGCAAAATATGCAATTTTTCTTTACTATATTTGATAGGTAAAAACTGTGTGTAAAAAAAAAAAAAAAAAAAGCGTAAGATTACAAAAAAGGCTACTGAATGAATAACATTTGTTCCAAAATCAACCTGCCCTAACATTTAAATTAGTACATTTATTAGAAAATATAATCGGTTTAAGTACAGAAAAATTCACAGAAATGACTTCAAACAGCCAAACATTTTAACTTAGTCTTTTCCTGTTACACACTAGAACAGGAATTCGCTTTTGGCCAGAAGCAGAATAAAATGTTCTCATTTAAGATTGGACAAGTTTCCTGGTCTTGGAGATTCCAACCCTGTGGCAGATTCTTCAATGCACTAAGAGAAGTGGATTCTGTGTAATATCAGCACCAGCATGGAGTGGTCATGTGGGCAGGGCATTATGGCAGGTCGATTTTGCATTTTGTTCAGAAAATCATTATTGCACTATATGTGAAAGCTGAGATTCGATGTGATAAGCACTAATATCAAACCTTAGATTTCTAGAATTTTAACAATTTTTGTGCATTTACTTTAGATTGTCTTTAAAAAAAAAAATATGAAATACCTAATTTCCACAGGTTTTTCTCACAAAATGACTTCAAAATTAGATACATTGAATGGAAAATATATTCTAACCAAAATTCTATCACAAGCAAATTATCCAATTTTTGCGAATGTATTTTATAAGTAAAACTGTGTAGAAAAAGAAAATTATAAAAGATTACAAAAAAGGCTACTCAATGAATATTTTTCAGATCATAATTAATAAAAATAAAAGATAAATGAAAGTATATATAACACCATAACAGTGCGGGGTACACATTATATCACAAAATGCTTTTTAAATTTGCATTGTTTATTGAAAATCATGAAAACTACTGCAGTGTATAACATACTACATTATAATATAACTAAATTATTTAGTATAATTTCCCTTTGAAGTAAATGAAATTCTTATTTTATGGCACAATGATTTAGTAATAATGTGCATGCATCTTGTCCATATGCAAATTTGTAAAGCTTCAGGTAATTATGAATTTTATAAGGCTTTCACCGATCACTGAAATGAAATTCTAATGCTATGATTTTGACCTAAACTTTATTTAAACTCATTTCCTCAAAAAATGGTAACGGTTTGGGAAAAAAAATATTTGTTGTTCTTATTTATCCTGTCAAACCACAAAATTCAAATGAAGTACAATACCCTGATCCCAAAATGACCATTTTTTGAACATGGTAGAAAATTTTTTTGAACATGCTACAAAATGAATAAAGAACTGTACCAAATTAACAGATATCACATCAGTTGAGGACTATCAACAACTAAAATGGATATCAAATGTAACACAAATAGAAAATAATGATAATCAAGATGTTGATATTCCACACTACTTCAAACAAAAGGTTAGGAAGGAAACCACCATTAATACTGAAAAGAGCGATAATGGGTACCAGATTTGAGAAACCCATTTTCCTGAAAAATTGTTTTAAGAGAAAGATTTTATAAATATCAGCTGAGAACAGTACTGACTATTTGGCCAATGAATGCCAAATGCTTCCTTATAAGGAAATAGTTAATATTACCATTTCAGTTTGTGCCGCATCTCATTTCTTTGAGTGAAAAAGTAAACACATCTACTCAAGTTACAGGTAACATATAATAAAATTATTAAAAGCTGGTAATACTTTTTTTTTAAAATCACTTTCCCCCAAGCAAGTCAATAAAGCCACTAAGTCACATGAGGTTACAGAGTGTAAAAGAATAAGAGAAAAACATTATCAAAGAGAGAGAACATTAAAAGAACAGGAATTAAAAAGGAAGAAAAGATATTGATTGAAACTGCATTTAAAATTTTAAAGATCAAAGTTGACTGGAAAGCAAGATGCTGATAGAGATTTCCACAAGCGAAAAGTGTGAAAGAAGAAACTGTTAGCATAGAACTTATGGTTACATCTAGCCGCCATTTCAACTGCAAGATGATGAGACCTAGTTGTAAATTTAGTATTGTTCTTAAATTTGCAAAGTCTAGGTACTAAAAAGGATTTTTGTATTTTTAATACTGTGTTTAATGACCTCTAAAAAGAAGTTGATGTAACATTCACACAATAAATCAACCAAAACTTAAAACTAGCAAGAATGATAATTTTTTTTTGAACATCTAAAATATTTAAGCATTTCATCTTGAAATGTGAAGATAGTGGACCAAAGAAAGAATTGTTCAACTTATTGTTTTTTCACAAAAGAAACAATAACAGTGAAATTGAAAAATCCTTGTGCATAAGAGAAAAAAATTATCCCCAAACCTCCAGGAAATATTCTAACACATGCATCAATTCTCTGCCATTGCTATGCACCAATCCCTTTGGATATATCAACTCATTTACATTGCATTAAACTTCTGAAAGAACTGGGAAGAATTTTATTGCTTTTGATTTCCATCCTTGGAAATTCTTTATGGAAATGGAAAACAACGAGCAGAGTTTGAAATATTTTTTGGCTAAGTTATGCTTTCAAAACTTGGTGGAAATTATTTCAACCTGATCAGGCTCCAAATCCTTCATGACACAAGAGGATTATCCATTGCCAATCAGACACAAATATTTTACAGAATAGATTAATTCTGGGGATATTATTTTTTTTCTCTCTCAAGATATTAATACAGTACAACCTCTCATTAAAGATGTCTGACTTAATCTGGATTATCTCCATTGCATACTAGAATACTTAAAGAAAATGAAGAAGAGTAAATGTTACGAGTAATAAGAATTTATTAACCCATTTACTGTGACTAAAATTCCCATCATTTACAATTGAACCACGGAGTTGAAAAGATGAAATTTGTTTAGTTAATGAACTTAGGGAAAAGAAAAAGACAACAGATTTCCCAGAGTTGTTTGAATTTTTTATGTTTTTGCTTTTGTGAGGATATTTTAACAGTTGTCAGGGTTTAAAATGGAATCAGTAAACAGAGTTTACATACCAGCTAGTGGTGTGTTCAGTTCTCACTAATTACCTTGGGAAAGGAATGACTTCAACTCTTCTCCACAGGTCTATAGCAGAGAAGATTTGGATTGCAGCCAGTCTTAGAGAAACTCTTAATTACTGTACTGTTTGGCTCTGTTAATACAATAGTTTGTTCAGTATCCTTTAATTGAATCATTTTAATGGAAAGACAGTCTTCCTATTTTTTTAACCAAATAAAGTAAAGTAGAGAATAGTAATGAACAGGAATGAATGGTGACAAATATGCTAATTATTTATTCCAGTTAGGATAATGAAATGGAGTAATATGTATTACAGGATTTTATTCTCAAAGTAATTTATGATGAGTGCTTCTTATATAATGATAACATGGAGTCTCAAACCTTGAATGGCAATCTTCCTGGAGATGGTGTCTCAATCAAAATCCTTCATATACTTGGGTTACCATGAGTATCTGAGTTGGGTGTCAGGAATCCTTTGTCAAGCGGAACCCCAAAAATAACATGGCTATGTATGCAATCGAACTATCCCTTTGATTATAGTGATTGATTGATTAATTTTTTATGATTTATCAACTCTTTACAGGTTATTTAGAGCCAGAAAATATTTTTAGATTATAAGAGTTTTTTGAAGATAATAATGATTTACTAATACAAGTCCTACTATTTGACCTATAGCTGCAAAGAGAAAAATAGATTCATACCTTTCCCACGGGTATTTGCATGTAATTGAATATAACAAGCCTGACTGGAACTGGAACATGGATCTCTGATTTAAAATTGTAAGCAATTATCCATTACACCACCTGCACATCCAAGCTTACAGCAGCTGGTATTCCCAAGCAGTCACCTATCTAGGTACTGACCAGGCTGGATTTTGCTTAACTTTGGTGATCATATGAGGACCAGTGTTTCAATGTGATATAAGCTTTTGATTAGGGCAAGTAAAGAATGATAGTTATAGCAATTTGGAATGGAAATGCTTGTGGTTTCTACAGGGTGTACCTAAAAAGTCTGGATACACAGGAAAAAATGCATATTTTCAAGATATTAAATTTTCAACAATATTTTATTGAATTGGAAAATTAACAAATAACATCTTCAATATAATTTCTATCATTTGTGATGCAACGTTTTGGTGCGCTTTGCAAGATTTATTTGAAGCAATTTTAGCACATTCATTCTTTATGCATTCAGTCAAGTGTGTTGCATCTGTGATTTTCATTGAGTACACCTTCTCCTTTAGCATACCCCATAAAAAGTCAAGCTGGAGGTAAAAAAAAATAAGGTTAATGAGATTTCATGTGTTCAAACTTTAGGCATACCCTGTAGAATATTAAATCTAGTTAGAATCCATGAATACTTTCTTTCCAACCAGAAGTTGGCATCTATGTGGATGACACCACTATTTATTCCTGCCTCAATAGTAAATCTGGTATTGTTGACAAAACTAACCTAGCTTCTGATCTCAAAAAGAACCTCCAATCTGTGGTTGACTGGGGCAGGAAATTTTTTTTTTTTTTTTTTTTTTAAGCATTATGCCCCGAGCAAGGCGTGAAGCCACTAGAATGCAGGGGGTTGCAGAAGATTTGGAACGAGAGCAGATAGGAGTGATAGAAGAAAGGATGAGGAGAAGGATAGTAGATAGATCAAGGTAACTGGAGATGTTGATTGACATTACATTTGAATAGTTGGAGATTATAGCTCTCAGGGAAACGGTAATTGGGAAGGGTGTTCCACAGGCGAGAGGTGCGAGGTATGAAGCTATTGGAGTAGAAGAGACGGCTACATTTAGGAGTTTCTACAGTGTAAGGGTGAGAGTGGGATGCAAATGGCTTATAAACTTTAATGCCTTCAAAATGAAACTGCTTGGTCATACACTGTCCCCTGACATGAGATGGAATAAATACATTGAATCAATAGCTTCATCTACCACAAGGGATGTTGGCTCTCTGTGTCAGGCCAGAAAGTTTTTAATGTCCATCTTTCAAATCTATAAATCAACCAACCATCCTTACATGGAATATTGCTGTCATATATAGTCTGGTGCTCCCGCTGTATATCTCGAGGTCCTTGACAAAATCCAGAGATGAATATGCAAGATGATAGGTCCTAATCTGGCATCTAGTCTACAATCACTATCCCACAGATGTACCATGGCCTCCCTCTGTCTCTTCTACAAATATTTTCACAGCAACTGTTCCAACTAGCTACTTCTGCTGGTTCCCTAATTACATGAATTTAAACAAGCTAACAGGCTGGCATCTCGGTCCCACCCTTTCACTTTCAACCATCTGTGGAACTCCCTTTCCCTTACTTGCTTCCCTGATGATTATAATCTTCAAATATTCAAGTGTAATGTCAATCGACATCTGACACCCTGAGCTTGTTCCCCATTCTTCTCTGTATCCTTTCCTCAAACATGCCTCTTTAATCTTGTTCACAATCCTCTGTAACCCCTTGCATGGTAGTGCCTTGCTGGGGGTGAATTGTCTTAAAAAAAAAAAAAAAAAAAAATAGTGAATGTTAAATATGTACTGGGTGCGAGGGGTAAATTGTCGCCATATTATATTTTTAATTTTGTGTGCATATGTTTTTCATTTTTGATTTTGTTGAATGCCAGTATAGTAGTGTCAGTTGGTCACTGTCTGTGAGACAAAGAGCACCATGATGCAATCCACTCTGCCCAGTGCAGAGGATTCAGAAAGAGATGTATCTAATGGTGATTATGAAGGTATGGCAAATCAGAAAACTCACTTTGATTGTTCAGATAAGAAAAGAACTCCCAAATGTGTTGATGTAGGACTCTGTATTGCATCTGAGTGCCTCACCAAGTGCCTTGAGTAGATAGTGTTACTCTGTGTCAAGAGGGTGGCTTCTGGTAGACCCTATGTCTGGCAACAGGAATCTGCCCCCTGCCACACAAGCAGGAGAACCCAGTCATGGATGTTAGACAATTCTTGTGACCACACCACCCCTTACATCAAACTTTGGTTATTATGTGTGGAGTACAAGTGAGTGAGAGACCAACAAAACTTGTAACATCAAAGATGAACTGAAGGCAAGGATTATGGCAGTATTCACCAACTTAAATAAGGAGACCATCCAGAAGAGTCACAGGTGATTCCAATGTTGTCTGGAGAAGTTGAAGCCAATAGCAATTTTTTTGAATAAATTTGTTCTTTAATATTTCAAGATATTTTTGTGTAATTTTAATAAATTTATCTGTTAAAATGAGATGTCAGCATTATTTCATTTTTGTGTAATTTAGATGACAATTTATCCACCATCACCTGTATGTCTTTTCAGTAACAATTTAACAATATCCTTATATATTCCACAAATTTCAGTTTAGCAGTCTCACTGTCCATTTTGTTTGTGTTAGTGACACGTGTTAATCTATGGTCATTTTCAAAGAGGGCGAGTCAATGGGAAAAACTATTGGCGTACTTATAAAGTATTAATATTAGAACAGGTTAATGTTGATATTTTTGCAGTAATAATTTATAAATGCGGTCATATCAGAAATACTAAGTATAAGCAGGTTTGGCAGTAGAATCTCCTGTACTAAACAAAAGGGAAAAGTATGTTGGCACATAGTCTTGCATCCAAAATGCATAATACCAGCAAAGTATTGATGCATTTACATTTTATCTACTGTCATAACATTTAAGGAGAAAACATGCACAAATACAATCCACAAGTATTAAGTGTATGCAAAAGTTTCCAAAGTTTTTATTACAAAAAAAAAAGGTAATTATGTATGATGAAATTAATTTGGAGAACTCTTACACACACTTAATTTTTGGTCACTAACAACTACTAATTTACTTGGATGTAGAATAGAGAGTGAGAAAGAAAGGAGCAGGTTTCCTTATTTTATCAAATGTATCTAAAGTATATTTCAGTTTATTTAAAATAAATAAAATAAAGGAAAAACACACACAAGCAAAATGTGTGCATGCACACACACACACACACACACAACCCAAAAGCAAACATATTCACACATACACACAACCCAAAAGTGTACACACACACAACCCAATCCAAAAGTACAAACACACAACCACAAAACAAACATGCATCCTGGGTATGATGATAATCAATATCTGGCAGCAAGGCCTCTGATCAGGTGGTTTTGAGGAACATGGAACCAACTCTTAATTGCTATTGTTGTTAGGTCCACCTTGACCCGGGTTTGTAGCACCTGTTAAGGTCCATGCTATGGACAAATAGTTACCCCCAAAAATTGTGGTCAAAACACTATAAAAGCATAAAAATAAATTTTTATAGTAAAAATACCAACAATACATTTTTGAAAAAAAAAAAAAAATACCAGCAATACATTTAACTCAAAAAAAACCAAAAATAAACAGAACACATTTACACAAATATGTTGGGACAGCTGATCTACAAACTGATTTCTTACAAAGAACACCTATTCTATTAATATGAACCTATCCTAAAAATCTTGTTGGGATTAAATAACCCATTAAGGTTTTGATATGCTGTAAAACAAAATAAACCAAACAAAAAGCAAACAAAAGCACACACATATACAAAAACTGAGTGCGCACAAATGCATACACTTGTTGCAGGCTGCTGTATGCATCGAGAGATAAACATGTGTGTCTCCTGAAATGCCCACTACAAACATGGCAGAGTCAGGATGTGAGTCCATGTAAATAAATGAAAAGAAAGGACAAGAACCTAAAAGCCTTTTTGGTCCAATTAATGTGAAGTGAGAGAACGTGCATACATACATTTATGTGTATGTATTGCTCATGCGTTTTCCAAAGGGGATGTGTTATCAGTGAGAAGTTACATGCTGACAAATAAGTGGATAAAGTGAGAAGAGGGTGATAAAAAATTATTGCAGAGTATTTATAGTCCTGAGAGCATCCCCTAGTAGTGGTTTTGAATATTAGGAGGAGGTAACCCGACACACTCAAATGAAAAATGTGCAAATACACACACACAAACCAAAAGCATGTGTGTACACAAACAAATACAAAAAGCAAACACACACAAACTCACCAAATGCAAACATATATCCACAACCCAAAACAAACAAATATGCACCAAGAAACACAAAACAAAATAAAAAAAAAAAACATTTCTATTGTGCATTGCATCTAGTTTTCAAAAAAAATCAATGGGGACTTTTTCACACTCAATAAAAAACAAAAGACACCCTATTTTACATTAGCTGCTCTGTTTGTTTTGCAGTTCTTTATTGCTTATTGTCATTTCATTCATTTATTTATGTGGACTCACATCCCGAGTTCCTGAAATGCCCACAACATGGCAGACTCAGAATATGAGTCCATGTAAACAAATGAAAAGAAATGACAAGAATCAATATATATGTACATACAAATGATAATGTATTAACAATGAAGGTTACAAGTGACAAAGATGTGTCTGTGTGTCAAATGAATGTGAAAAACTAGTGGTCCAAAGTATGTGTAGTGAGTGAATGTGCATATGTACATGTGCGCATATGCATTGTTCATGCGTTTCCCAAAGGGAAGACGCTCTCTGTGAGAGCTTACAGAGAGTGATAAAAATTTATCACAGAGTATTTATAGTCCTGAAAGCGTCCCCTAGTAGCAGTTTAGAAAATTAGGAGGAGGTAACCCAACACTTCTGGACATGTTTAGTACCATGCATGACATCCATATGAAAGTCTTGATCTGAATAGTCTATTTAATAACGTGTTTGGAGATTTCTACATTATTGGGGGTGGGGGTTGTAGCAACAACAATACCCTCAAAATTAATTGTTGCATTTTAGATTAGCTGCATTGTTTGTATTGCAGTTCTGCTGCAGGTTTTTTTTTGGACATAATAAACTGCTGAATATATCACCTTTTGATTTTAGAAAAAAGAAAAATGATTTAAAAAATTTCATCT